TGAACGCCACGTCATTTACTACTGACCAATGGACTCCACGACACTTACTACTGACCCCTGAACTCCACGTCACTTACTACTGACCCCTGAACTCCACGTCGCTTACTACTGACCCCTGAACTCCACCTCACTTACTACTCACCCCTGAACTCCACCTCGCTTACTACTGAGCTCTGCCTCGCTATTGACCCCTGAACTCTGTGTCACTCACTACTAACCCCTGAACTCTACATGTCACTTCTGACCTCTGCATCACATACTGCTGATCCCTGAACTTCGCCTCGCTTACTACTGACCCCCGAACTCCACGTCTCTTGCTACTGACCCCTGAACTCCACGTCACTCACTACTGACCTCTGAACACAGCGTCAGTTACTACTGACCCCTGAATTCAGCGTCACCACTGAACCCTGCATCACTTACTACTAACCTCTCAGCTCCTCGTCACTTCTGACCTCTCCATCATGTACTACTGACCCCTGAACTCCACGTCACTTACTACTGACCTCTGAACTCCACGTCACTTACTACTGAACTATGTGTACTAAGGAGGCCAGTAGGTGTTCTCTGTACACACGGCCCTCCTGAACTGTTCACAATACTCGAAGCACTCCAGCTGTCACTCCCCTCCTAATCCCTGGTGCAGTGGGCGGGGTTTAAATGACAGCTACTGACAAGGAGGAAAGGCGACGTGCAGCGCAGTGTGATGAGTTTTTTTTGGGGGGGGGGGGGGGGACGGAGGTCGGTGAGATATTCCGTGCCTTCAGCACGGTCACGGTCTATACCGAGCACGAAAGGGGGGGGGGGGGGGGGAGGGGGGGCAAAAAAAAGGAGCTCATAGCTCCGCCCCCTATAAGCGCACAGTGATGGTGAGGCATCGGGGGGGTACAGCAAGGGGGCGGGGCGGCGATCCCCCCATAGGTTGCGTAATAGGTGGGTTCACACCATCCGGACACGTGCAACATTGAGTCCGCCTGGCCCAGACTCCATAGCACGTGCCGATACTCACTTCTGGCTGACATGACACACGGAATCAGCACCAGGCTGACCCAGAGCACCTCCATCTGTCTTAGATCATGGCGGAAAAGAATGTGGGCAGCTGCGCAGATCAAATTTCCCGCCTATACGTTCAACCAATCAGAGCTTAGACAGCTGGGACTGCCCTCTCACCAAGCTACGCATGCGCGTCAGCGTTCCCTTCCTCCCCGAGAAGCTCCTAACACCAGAGGGGGCGGGGATAGAACGCAGAACTGTAGCAATATGACAGGGAATAGTAACATTGTATCCCCGACTCATCTCCTGGAGGCACGTGATCACCGGAGGACACTGATTGGCTGATAAACCGGAGAATGCGCACATCTACATCGGCAGCTATAAGAACATACCGGAGTCATCTGTATGAAATGGAATATTTATTGCCGCTTGCAGCCATTTCATTTGGCGGTATTTTTAGCCACTTCCAGTCTGGACACTTTCCCCCCTTCTTGTCCAAGCAGGGTCGGACTGACAACTCATGGGGCCCCCGGGCAATAGGGGATCATGGGGCCCCTGTGTCCTTGCCCAAACTCAAAAAAGCCTATGAAAAAGGTACCAGGGGCATCTCATGGGGCCCCCTACTGACCCCGGGCCCTCGGGCAGTGCCCCAGTTTCAAATGATCAGTCCGCCCCTGGTCCCGGCCAATTTTCAGCTTTCATTGCTATCACATTTTAAATGACAATTGCGCGGTAATGCAACACTGTACCCATAAGAATTATTTTACCATTTTTTTGAGACAGATAAAACTTTATTTTGGTGGTATTTATTCACTGCCGGGATTTTAATTTTTTTCGCTCTGTAAATGAAAATGTCCAAAAATGTTGAAAAAAAAGTGTTTTTCTTATAAAATTTTGCAAATAAATAATATTTCATCATAAATCTTGTCCACAATTTATTCCATTATCTTTTTAGTAAAAAAAAAAAAAAGCCAAATTAGTTTATAACCAAAAATTATAATTTTTAAACATTGAATTTTTTTAGTATTTTTTTGAGACGGATAAAGCTTTTTTTGGTGGTATTTATTCACCAGTGGGATTTTTAATTTTTTTTTGTTATATAAATGAAAAAGTCCAAACATTTTGAAACAAGGTGTTTCTTCTTATAACATTTTGCAAATAAATAATTTGGCCAAAATGTATTTGGTTATCTTTTTAGTAAAAAAAAAAAAAAAACCAAATTAGTTTATAACCAAAAATGATATTTTTTCAAAAAAAGTTTTAATTTTTTTTTATATTATTATTTATGTTTTATTTATTTTTTACATACTGTCACCCTAGCAGTACAGTGTCACCATGGTGACACTGTACTACTTGTGGGGGGTGATGAAGATTTTTTTTTTTCTTTACACTGATTGCTCTTACACCCATAAAGGCTGTAAAAGCAATAATTTCTCCTCTCTGACTGCATTCTTGCAGCCATTGAGAAATACTGTGAGAGCTGTGATTGGTCACAGCTTGTCACATGGTACAAGGCTGTTGTGAATAACCCTGTACCATGTGACCTCTGTGATCATTCACAGATTTCACTAGTAGTAAGCAATGATGTCAGGAAGTGACATCTTGTTTACTACTGTTCCTGTGATCACTGATTTGCCAATCAGTGATCACGTGATCGGGACCTCGTCACAGAGGTCCCGTACAGCGATCAGTGTTCCGCTATGTCTAGAGGACAGTGAATGCGGGAGGTGTTTATGAACGGCAACCGGCTCCTGCACTGCTGACATCCAGCCGTTTATGTACATGGGCCGGACGGGAAGTGGTTAAGTAGAAAACATTCAGATGGAAGCAATAGTAAACAGCATTACAAAAAAAAAAAAACCCCAATCCCCTGCAAGGTAATGTCATAATGTACCAGGATGCATGGCATACTCACATATGGAGGACTTACCTGAAAACCAAGCCCTCCACCGGCACAATGTCACCCCTGCAGAGGCTTCCATCTTCACCCGGTCTTCCTTCCAGGTTTGCGAGCTCCAGCCATCAGACTGTCTGAGATGCGATGACGTCACTCTTGCACATGTGCACAGGAGTCTCGGGACACAGCACAGTACTCTAAAGGAACGGTACAGGTATGCTTTTCCTTCAGAGCACATGCTCCGGCTCGAAAAAAAAAAAAAATATATATATATATATAGGCAGCACAGTGGCTAAATGGTTAGCACTTCCGCCTGGCAGTACTAGGGTCGTCGATTCGAATCCCAACCATGGCACCACCTGCCTGGAGTTTGCATGTTCTCCCTGTGCCTGTGTGGGTTTTCCTCTAGGTACTCCGGTTTCCTCCCACACTCCAAAGACATGCTGGTAGGTTATTGGATCCTGTCTACATTGTCCCTAGTATGTGTATGTATGAATGTGAGTTAGGGACCTTAGATTGTACGCCCCTTGAGGGTTAGGGGACTGATGTGAATGTTCAATATATATGTAAAGTGCTGTGTAAATTGACAGCGCTATATAAGTACCTGAAATAAATAAAATCTATCTCAATAGTGCACATTTAGGAGATAACACTTACCTGACGGTAAAATGAATATTAAAAACCTCACCTGTAGGTCAACATGAACAACGTGGCTTTACTAACCCTTCTCCAACTTGCCATGCAACGCTGCACCCAATTCAACCACTCGCCCTCCAGAGGATTTACCCCCCTTCCTGACCAGGCCATTATTTGTGTTACGGTGCTGCGTTACTTTAACTGACAATTGCGCGGTCATGCAATGCTGCACCCAGATGAAGTTTACATCCTTTTTTTCCCAAAAATAGAGCTTTCTTTCGGTGGTATTTGATCACCAATGTTTTTTTTTTTTATTTTTTATGCTATAAACAAAAAAAAAGACATTTAAAAAAAAAAAAAAAAACAAAACAATATTTTTGACATTTTCCTATTAAACATGTCCAGTAAAAAAAAATTAAAAAAATGTAATTTCATCATAAATTTAGGCCAAAATGTATTCTGTGCCATGTCTTTGCTAAACAAAAATCCCAAAAATTAATTGGTTTACGTGAAAGTTATAGCATCTACAAATGGTGGTATAGATACTGGGAATTTAAAAAAAAAAAAATGTTATACTAGTAATGGCAGCAATCAGCAACTTATAGTGGGACTGTGGCAGGTATTCTGTCACTGGACACAATACAAAGCAGCATGCTGGTGCTGACGGGAGATCTGTTTCGTTTACATATAGACCTTTCCTCTGTCACTGTTCCTCAGCGATCGCTGGGTGCTGGTGGGGAATCTCCAGCCAGGACCCGGTGAATGACAGCTGTAGCTGCCATGGTGGCTTGGGTGGAGCAGCTCGAACGCGCACCCACTACCCGGAAATATAAATCATGTATATACAGTATCTCACAGAGGTGGATACACCCCTCACATTTTTGTAAATATTTTATTCTCTTTTCATGTGACAACACAGAAGAAATGACACTTTGCTACAATGTGACGTAGTGAGTGTACAGCTTGTATAACATGTAAATTTCCTGTCCCCTCAAAATGGCAACAAAAGTGAGTACACCCCTAGGTGACAATGTCCAAATTGGGCCCAAAGTGTCAATATTTTGTGTGGCCACCATTATTGTCCAGCATTGCCTTAACCCTCTTGGGCATGGAGTTCACCAGAGCTTCACAGGTTGTCACCTGAGTCCTCTTCCACTCCTCCATGATGACATCACGGAGCTGGTAGATGTTAGAGATCTTGCGCTCCTCCACCTTCCATTTGAGGATGCCCCACAGATGCTCAATAGGGTTTAGGTCTGGAGACATGCTTGGCCAGTCCATCACCTTTACCCTCAGCTTCTTTAGCAAGGCAGTGGTTGTCCTGGAGGTGTGTTTGGGGTCGTTATCATGTTGGAATACTGCCCTGCGGCCCAGTTCTCCGAGGGGAGGGGATCATGCTCTGCTTCAGTATGTCACAGTACATGTTGGCATTCATGGTTCCCTCAATGACCTGTAGCTCCCCCCGCCAGCACTCATGCAGCCCCAGACCATGACACTCCCACCACCATGCTTGACTGTAGTACAAGACACACTTGACTTTGTACTCCTCACCTGGTTGTCACCACGCACGCTTGACACCATCTGAAACAAATCAGTGTATCTTGGTGTCATCAGACCACAGGACATGGTTCCAGTAATCCATGTTCTTAGTCTGCTTGTCTTCAGCAAACTGAGGCTTTCTTGTGCATCATCTTTAGAAGAGGCTTCCTTCTGGGACGACAGCCATGCAGACCAATTTTGATGCAGTGTGCGGCATATGGTCTGAGCACTGACTGGCTGACCCTCCACCCCTTCAACCTCTGCAACAATGCTGGCAGCACTCATACGTCTATTTCCCAAAGACAACCTCTGGATATGTCGCTGAGCATGTGCACTCAACTTCTCTGGTCAACCATGGTGAGGCCTGTTCTGAGTGGAACCTGTCCTGTTAAACCGCTGTATGGTCTTGGCCACCGTGCTGCAGCCCAGTTTTTCAGGGTCTTGGCAATCTCCTTATTAGCCTAGGCCATCTTCATGTAGAGCAACAATTCTTTTTTTTCAGATCCTCAGAGAGTTCTTTGCCATGAGGTGCCATGTTGAACTTCCAGTGACCAGTATGAGAGAGTGAGAGCGATAACACCAAATTTAACACACCCCTCCCCCATTACACACCTGAGACCTTGTAACACTAATGAGTCACATGACACGGGGAGGGAAAAGGGCTAATTGGGCCCAATTTGGACATTGTCACTTAGGGGTGGACTCACTTTTGTTGCCAGCAGTTTAGATATTAATGGCTGTGTGTTGAGTTATTTTGAGAGGACAGCAGATTTACATGTTATATAGAGATGAGCGAAGTATTCAAAAAATCGAATTCGACTGATTCGGGCGAATTCAGTGGGACAATATTCGATCGAGTCGAATATAATTCGCTGTGAATTTAACTTAAAAAAGGGTGTTTCTAGGCTTCAGAGAGACTTAATATTAGTGCAGAACACTGTAACCTTTAATTTAAATGCCCTTGGAGTCTGCTGGGGAAGAGAAATAATACTGTCAGTCAGTATGACATGCAGATGAGTGCGGTCGATCTTAGAATCACACCGCACACTTCACTCATTTGGCCAGTCACGGGGCCAAAACCAGTGTTTGGAGCCACAGTGTGGCGGTGGAAGGCAGCAGCAATGGGAGGCCATACAGCAACCTATGACAAAATGGAAACCAGCAGGAGTGTGAGGAGACCTCAAAGTGGCACATGGCAGAGTGGGAGCAATGGGAGGCGGTACAGGGACCCATGTCACACTGTTGAGGACCCAGCAGCAGCGTGACGAGGCGGTACGGGGGCCCATGGCAGATTACAGGCCTGGCAGCACCTATGGGAGGCCTGTAATCTGCCAGCAACCTATGACAAAATGGAAAACAGCAGGAGTGTGAGGAGACCTCAAAGTGGCACATGGCAGAGTGGGAGCAATGGGAGGCGGTACAGGGACCCATGTCACACTGTGGACCCAGCAGCAGCGTGACCAGGCGGTACGGGGGCCCATGGCAGATTACAGGCCTGGCAGCAGCAATGGGAGGCCTGTAAATCTGTCAGCACCCTATGACAAAAATGGAACACACCAGCAGTGTGTGAGGAGACCTGAAAGTGGCACATGGCAGAGTGTGGCGATGGTCACGGAGACAGCAGCAATGGGAGGCCGTACAGGGACCCATGAGAGACTCTGGACCTGGCAGCAGCATGAGGAGGCGGTATAGGGGGCCCATGGCAGATTAGGGGCCTGGCAGCAGCTATGGGATGGCCCGTAATCTGCCAGCACCCTATGTCAAAAAATTCAACACACCAGCAGTGTGAGGAGACCTGAAAGTGGCACATGGCAGAGTGTGGCGATGGAGACAGCAGCAATGGGAGGCCGTACAGGGACCCAAGACAGACTCTGGACTTGGCAGCAGCATGAGGAGGCGGTATAGGGGCCCATGCAGATTAGGGGCCTGGCAGCAGCTATGGGAGGCCCGTAATCTGCCAGCACCCTATGTCAAAAAATTTGAGAACACACCAGCAGTGTGAGGAGACCTGAAAGTGGCACATGGCAGAGTTGGCGATGGAGACAGCAGCAATGGGAGGCCGTACAGGGACCCATGAGAGACTCTGGACTTTTTGGCAGCAGCATGAGTGAGGCGGTATAGGGGCCCATGGCAGATTAGGGGCCTGGCAGCAGCTATGGGAGGCCCGTAATCTGCCAGCACCCTATGACAAAAAATGGAACACAACCAGCAGTGTGAGGAGACCTGAAAGTGTGCACATGTTTGGGGCATGATTCATGGCGGATTTAGTCAGTTGTCAGGAACTGGTGGTTTGAAATCCAGACTAATCCACGCCTGATTCATTTTCAACAAACGTCAGTCTCTCCACACTTTTTGGGTGGACAGGTCGTGTCCTCCGCGGGAGTTGCAATTCCTCCTGCCGCACTAAAACACGCGCTCCGATGCCACGCTACTGGCCGGGCATGACAGCCTTTCAAGGGCAAATTCATCTAGTTGGGGCCAAAGGTCAAGTTTCGTTTGCCCAGTATCAAGGGGATTGTGTACCTCGGTTGGCAGGGTGCTGTCCAAGTAGGCCTAAGCCTGTTGTTTGAGGTCCTGCTCCAGGTCCACCTGATGCTGCTGGCTGCTGCTGCTGCTGGCATGCTGCCGCTAAAGAGAGGGCTGCGGCATGTTATTAGTTTCCTCACTGCGCTGATGGTGAAGAAAGCTACTCATCATCGACTGCAGCACTGAGGCAGCCGCTGCTGGTGGAGCTGCCCACTGGCTCCTACCACCCACCCCTCCCCCTGCTGGCCATGGCAGCGGAACGCGACGCTGCACAGGGCCCACAGTGTCTGAGGATGGACGTTGGCGCAGACAGGCAGAGACCAGCTGACTACATAGGTGGTTTTTATAGTACGTTATTTTGGCCTCCCTCTCAGCAGGTGTGAAAAAGGCCACCATTTTGGAACGGTAGCGAGGGTCCAACAAGGTGGACAGCCAAAAGTCATCCCTCTGTCTGATGTTATTATTCGGCTGTCGGTACGCAAGCAAGCGAGCATGCTATGGGCCATTTGTGCCAAGGAATGCGAGGGACTCCCTGCCTCCATCTCCACAGCATACTGCCACGGTGCGTCCTGGGTCCTCTGTCCCTCTTCCTCCTCCTCTTACCAGATGCTCCTGCTACAGCGCCCTCCACTCCTGTCCGCTGAGTGGAAAAACCACCCATTTCACTCAATAATTCCTGAGCACCAAATGTCCTCCTCTACCTCCTCCTCTTCTTCCTGTCCTGCCCCCACAGGGGTCATGTGGCGTTGAGATCTGTGCGCCACGTCTACCGCACCCTGACCAGCCATTATTAACAGCATTTGTTCCAGGACGTGCAACAGAGGAATGACGTCGTTCATCCCATAGTCTGCCGACTCACGAATAGCGTGGCCTCCTCAAAGGGCCTGCAGCAAGCGCAGGTGTCACGCATGAGCTGCCAATGGCTGACCTCTAAGTTACACAGGGAGTACCTTTATCCGCTTTAAACATCAGGAAATCTGTGATGGCCTTTTGCTGTTCGTAAAGGCGGTCTAACATATGTAGGGTTGAATTCCACCTTGTTGCAACGTCACAGCATGAGGATCGGTACGGGGGCCCATGCAGAATTACGGGCCTGGTGCAGCAGCAATGGGCCGAGGCCCGTAATCTGCCCAGCACCCTATGTCAAAAAATTCAACACACCAGCAGTGTGTGAGGAGACTGAAAGTGGCACATGGCAGAGTGTGGCGATGGAGACAGCAGCAATGGGAGGCCGTACAGGGACCCATGAGAGACTCAGGACCTGGCATCAGCATGAGAGAGGCGGTATAGGGGCCCATGGCAGATTAGGGCCTGGCAGCAGCTATAGGAGGCCCGTAATCTGCCAGCACCCTATGTCAAAAAATTCAACACACCAGCAGTGTGAGGAGACCTGAAAGTGGCACATGGCATGAGACACTGTGGACCTGGCAGCAGCATGAGGAGGTACAGGGGCCCATGGCAGATTAGGGGCTGGGGGGGGGGGGGCCTGGCAGCAGCTATGGGAGGCCCTAAACTGCCAGCACCCTATGTCAAAAAATTCAACACACCACAGTGTGAACAGACCTGAATGTGGCACATGGCAGAGTGTGGCGATGGAGACAGCACAATTGGGAGGGCCGTACAGGGACCCATGACAAACTCTGGACCTTGCAGCAGCAAGAGGAGGCGGTATAGGGGCCCATGGCAGATTAGGGGGCCAGCAGCAGCTATGGGAGGCCCGTAATCTGCCAGCACCCTATGGTCAAAAAATTCAACACACCAGCAGTGTGTGAGGAGACCTGAAAGTGGCACATGGCAGAGTGTGGCGATGGAGACAGCAGCAATGGGAGGCCGTACAGGGACCCATGAGAGACTCTGGACTTGGCAAGCAGCATGAGGTAATAAAAGGGGGTCAGGGGCCCATGGCAGATTAGGGGGCCTGGCAGCAGCTATGGGAGGCCCGTAATCTGCCAGCACCCTATTCAAAAAATTCAACACACCAGCAGTGTGAGGAGACCTGTAAAGTGGCACATGGCATGAGAGACTGTGGACCCCTGGCAGCAGCATGAGGAGGCGGTATAGGGGCCCATGGCAGATCAGGGGCCTGGCAGCAGCTACGGGAGGCCCGTAATCTGCCAGCACCCTATTCAAAAAAATTCAACACACCACAGTGTGAGGAGACCTGAAAGTGGCACATGGCAGAGTGTGGCGATGGAGACAGCAGCAATGGAGGCTTACAGGGACCCATGACAGACTCTGGACCTGGCAGCAGCATGAGGAGGCGGTATAGGGGCCCATGGCAGATATAGGGGCCTGGCAGCAGCTATGGGAGGCCCTAATCTGCCAGCACCCTATATGTCAAAAAATTCAACACACCAGCAGTGTGAGGAGACCTGAAAGTGGCACATGGCAGAGTGTGGCGATGGAGACAGCACAATGGGAGGCCGTACAGGGACCCATGACAGACTCTGGACTTGGCAGCAGCATGAGGAGGCGGGTATATAGGGGCCCATGGCAGATTAGGGGCCTGGCAGCAGCTATGGGGAGGCCCGTAAATCTGCCAGCACCCTATGTCAAAAAATAGAACACACCAGCAGTGTGTGAGGAGACCTGAAAGTGGCACATGGCAGAGTGTGGCGATGGGAGCAGCAGCAATGGGAGGCGTACAGGGACCCATGACAGACTCTGGACTTGGCAGCAGCATGAGGAGGCGGTATATGCCAGGGGGGCCCATGGCAATTAGGGCCTGGCAGCACTATAGGAGGCCCGTACATCCTGCCAGCACCCTATGTCAAAAAATTCCAACACACCAGCAGTTTGAGGAAGACCTGAAAGTGGCACATGGCATGAGACACTGTGGACCTGGCAGCAGCATGAGGAGGCGGTACAGGGGCCCATGGCAGATTAGGGGCCTGGCAGCAGCTATGGGAGCCCGTATTCTGCCAGCACCCTATGTCAAAAAATTCAACACACCAGCAGTGTGTGAGGAACCTGAAAGTGGCACATGGCAGAGTGTGGCGATGGGAGACA